AAAGTCCAGCTGAACAACAGGTGTCTCATCTAGGAAACAAGAACAAAGCAACAGGGTGTCTGCCACCACAGTTCAGCCAATTCCAAGATTAGGGGTCATCAGTGCCCAGCCCTCAGGCAACACTCTGCCAGACAGTGCTCCCCTTTCAGCTTGAGTCACCTCTCCAGAACAGAGCTGGTGGTCAGAGGAGGCCAAGCAAAGCTTGGCCTCCTGCTGCAATCAACCACCTGGAGCACAGGGGGAGCTGGGGAGATGAGGCTGGCGACCCAGAGAGGGGCAAGGTGCTGGGCTGCCCTATGTGTGCCCACACTCAGCACTCTCCAGGTTGGAAGTGCCTTTCCTTGGCCGTGTCAGAGCTGTTGGCAACAAGCCAAATGCAAGGGCTGTGTGGGGAAAGTATTCCATCTTCTTACCAGGAATTTTGGTTTCCTCACACTCAAGGTTGTAGAATGTCCTCAGATGTTTGTTTACAATGAACACAGGTCTCTCAACAGTCAAAACCTTGCCCTCTTCCACACTGGCATGCACTGGGACAATTGCAAATGTCCCAACTCCAATCTCCACTGCCTGGAAACAAGCAAGAGGAGGGAGCATTGGCAGGGCTGCCCAGAGACGGGGTGGCTGCCACATGACTGGCATGGTCCTGGGAATGGCACTTTGGCCCCTGTTCTGGAGGCCCAGAGGGACAGGGTGAGTCATGTACAGGAGGCAGGACTCACCTTCTTCTGCAAGAGCTGTCTGTGGATGTAGCGAGATGCTCCAGACCAGATTTTCCAGATTTCTGGAAAGCAAAGGAAAAGCTCTGCCATGCTCTGATTCAGTGACAGCCACCGTCCCCTGTGCCCCTACCCACACAGGTGACAGTGGGGCGCCCTCAAGCTCCCCTTGCCCTGAGTAAGCACTCTCATCAGGGGCTGCCCAACTGCATGTTTGACTCCAGGCTCAAAGCAACCCACCCTTTGTCCATGATAGGCCTGGGGAGGAAAGGCAGGCAGTAGTTCTGAGAAGGGGATTTCCACTCCTAGACACTGCCAGTTCCTAGAGGCCTGGGCTACCAAAGCCACCCCAGAGTCTCAAGGCACCACAAGGCAGGGCTCTCCTTACTGTAGCCTGTGCCGACTAAAAGAGCCCCCTCTATGGCCCCAGCCTCAGGGGGGCTTTCCACAGCTCATCTCCATGTAATCTTGGCCCTGACAGTGCTGCTGCAAGGGACACCTATGGCCTTACCACTGTTGCTGAGCTCCTTGAGAGTTGGGAGTTCCCCCGGCCCCACAGGCTTATAGCGCATGTACTTCATTATCTTTGCCCCCGTGCAGTGCAGCAGATGAGGAAGAGGTGCTTGTCCTGCTACAAAACCCCTCTGCTCCTCTCCTCCTCCTCCTCTGCACTTCTTCCCAAGTGGTGTCTACAATGTTCTTCTAAAGTCTCCTGGTAGCAGGGCAGCTCCTCCGCAGCAGTGCAAAAAAGTTGCTTGCTCTGCTACAAAATCTCTCTGCTCCTCTCTCTCTCAACACTTCTCCAAGTGGTATCTCCAACGCTCTCCCACAGCTTCCCTTTGCCTCCTGGCAGCAGGGCAGCTCCTGCACAGCAGAGCGCTGGTGAGAGCAGTCCTGGTAATCACCCAGACCTCTCCAAAGAGTGTGAAGGGGGACCTGTCCCTGGGATGTGAGTGTCCCACTGTGAGGTCATGCCATGGGTCACAGGGCTGCACACAACCTGCCACCACACAATCTCACCTACATTTAACTCCAGCATGAGCAGGGCAGCCCCACCGGTCACCTCAGGCTGCTGCACTGACCCTCCCGCCTGCACAGCTCAACTCATCCTCCCCAGCTGGGGACACAGGAACTCCTGGAACCTGGGGAGGAATAGGCATTAGTGCTGAAGGGGCTTCCTGTCGGGGTCCGAAGGGAGGAGGGGACAGGACACGAGGAAGGGTGCACACAGAATCCTTTATTCAGGCGTGTCTCTGATTCTTAACCGTCCCGCCAGGGAAAAGGAGGCAGAACATAGGGTGGGCTATCAGACAGACAAACAGGGGAGCAAATCAGAATAGGGCACAGGCAAAAGGGGGAGGAGGAAGTCTGGGCATGTGCAGTTGTGCACTGTGTAGAAACCACATAATAACAGTAAAGTCCATATGAAAGTCCTGCCAATTGCTGTATGCTTTTCTCCATGCCTGGAACTGTTCCCATCATGAATCTTGCTTCTCTACATCTCACCCTTTCTTATTAGTTTGAAAGATGCCTGTTGTGATAGTCCTTCTTGCAGCATGCTGTGACACAAGAAATAGTTAGTAACAAAACAAACAGACAAAGCAAAATTTCAAAGCAAGTGGACAGCTGCATTTGCTGAG